ACTACAAGATATGGCTGCCAACCGATGTCAGTGGTGTTCCTGTTGTCAGTTTCTATCCAGATTGCCTGAGTGAATGTCTGGAGGTGTAGGCACCTCGGAATGATTGTGTTAAGCTAGCACTAAGTCCCTCCCCCATCCACCTTTATTCTTTTCTTTACAATAAGGCTTTCAAATAAGTCATGGTTGTACGGCAGTGAAGCATTGGTGTTGAACACTGATGTCATGCTGTCGTTGATGATGATGATGATGATGAAATCATCAAGTTGTCACTCGCGTCGTCATCATAAAAGGGCAAGATGGCTAAGTGGTTAGAGTGCGGAAGATCCATGATTCGATCCCGACAGCTGCCTCTTGGGCAACCTAGGAGTATCCTAGCCCTCATGCTTCCTTCCGGTGGCATGGCAGTTGGGCATTGAAGGGTATTACAGTTGAACTTCATCGTAAAAATGGCTGGGTAAAGGCAAACAGTCATTTGACATACAGTACATCATTTCGTCGTCATAAACTATGAAGTGTGACCGGTTGATCCCTGGGGACAGAGTTACTTTTCTTACAAACCATTTGGTGTACCTAATCATCGCTGATCCAATACTCCCAAGAGACCCACGCTATGCTCCGAAGACACCGATGGCCGGACACAGAATATTCGAAAATCTGCCCCAACCAGTTTTCTTTCATTTTGACGGAGTGATCGGAGTTGATAGCTGCGATGATCTCGCAGGCTGGTTGGAACTTCGTTCATCAGAGTGCAACCATGCCAGGAAGGCCAAAGGAGCAACTAAACGACGAGTGGCAAGCCTCTGTATCATAGGTAATCGAAATGAGGCAGTCTGGGGATAAAGTCATACGGTCCTCCACAACGAATGTTTCAGCAGCAAGGTGTTTCTAAGCAGCGATGTTTAATTCCTCAAAAAAGATGGGTTAGAAACGGTGAACCTTGAAAGTCGGACACTCGATTGCCCACAGATGAATTATTTAATACGGTTTAAACATTTTTAAAGTAAAAATGTCTGGTGCTGCTTATAAGGCGCCTGTCATGCGCAGCCACATTAGGCTAGGTGAAATCCAAGACAAACAAAAATTGCCAACGCATCAGCAACCTACGCCAGAGGCAACACAAATAGGTGTCTATTATCCGCAGGACAAAACGAAAGATGAAGACAGTGAGTGGATCAAGTCACCACATCGAAATCACCTAAGGGGGGCGTGAAAAGGAATCCCTCACATCGCAACGTGTTTGGGTAACAACAGGAAAGCTCCGCGGGAGCCACGCAAGATTGTCTCCAGAATGCCTGAATCAACATGAGATCCAGTATTTCCGCGTGATGATATCAGTGTTCAATGGTGTGACTGTCAAACGCCGGTTATTTAGTGAAAAGAAGTCGGATAATACCGCTGCTCGGAAGCTCAGAGGTTCTACGCCTCCCGGCTAAATGGTGTTGGTATTGGGTTACGCGGTTGATCCTGCATCCGGATCTGTTTGTATAGGAACCCAGAGTGATAATAACGGTGGTTTTGCGACTTAACTGTCGACTAACGGTGAAACAAACCTAAGTAGTAAATTTTGGGTTTAACAACGTATACACAATTTGTGATTGGTAGAAACCTAATGTAGTTGCATTAATCGAAAAAAGGCTGCATCAACTTACCAAGGGTGTGGACGTATCCATCAAAGATGACCAACCTTACCCATCTATCACGAAAGTGCTGTATTGAGGCCTTATGGGCTTCAGTAACAGGCCGAAACGTCAGTGTGATACTCTAAGTCCCTTATACCATACGAGTCTGTGGGTAAAGGTCAAGCAAACAGTCACGTAGCTTCTTGGGTAGGGGGTGGGCAATCTGTTCAAAATAGTCTGGTTAACTTACACCAACCACCAAAGGCATTGGTTCAAGGCCACCACTTCAAACCGACTGGAACATATCGCATTGTGGCAGTTTGTGTACCTATGTGACGCCATGAGCTTTCCTTGAAGGTTTCATGTTGACACACACGGCATCATGTATCAGGTTCGTTCGTATATAGAAGTTTGATGAACACAGTCTCCGGTTCTTCCAAGTTGACCCAGCGCTACTGAGACCAGTGGGTTGCCATCTTGGGTTGGGAACGAGGGGCAGGGACAACAAAGGGAACCTGTTGCAGGTGCGCCAATCACAGACTGTCGATTTGCAGCGCCAACTTCCGGAACAGCAAAGATCGCTTGACCAGGTGCTACCCACAAACCAACCAGCCCCGAATCCAAATAGACAACACTGACGTTAGTTACCAGTGGCGAAGGGCAATCACTACCTCGCCTATCTTTCTGGAAAACCAGCGCCGACTATGAGCATGTAATCATGTGCTGTAGGTTTTCATTGCGCTTTTCAGGAGCCCACAAGCCCTGTTCAACCACTGAGACCACGAAATCAAACAAAACTGTCATTCAAAGCAATGCTGCATGTTTTTGCAACATCGAGAAAATGCCTAAGATTACAGTCATGTTCAGCTCGCACTTCACCGAATAGAGTAAAGCCATCAGTGTCGGCGAATGTCTATTTCACCTGTCCGGCTTTGATGATACTGGTTAAAGTTCGTTGGAAACGCGCAACCCAGGTTCTCACTCCAAAAGTAGTGCACCAAAACTGATGTAGGCTTCAGCCGAATGCAATAAACCGCTTATTTGACTCGATTGCTGGGATTTGATGATACGCACTCGGTGAAGAATAAGCGTTAATGCAGGTAGAGCGACTGATGGTTCGAATGTAGTCTATGACCATGCGTCTATTGTACTGGGACTTGATGATACGCACTCTGGAGGTCCAGTGTACCGTAGATGATATAGCATGCGATTGTCTCGATCATTTGATTCATTCTCGGTGAAGAATAAGCGTCAATGCAGGTAGAGCGACTGATGGTTTGAATGTAGTCTATGACCATGCGTCTATTGTGGTTCGTATTCCGTGTTACGACATCCTGCGTTCTCCGCTAAGAGTTTGATGCTTCGATAATGCCATCAGTGAGCATTCAGCCTAATTCGGTTGGTATGAATTGTTCATCTTCCAGTGAATGACAACGAGATTTCGTGGCTATCGATTTACTATTCACAGCAATATTAATGAACAAAGATGGAAATACCTGTTTCGCGGATATTACGCCACATACAGCTACGATGTCACGTTAGCCACCGAATGGAAGTTCAACTTTCTCATGTAAACCCAAGAAGTGTCCGAGAAGGAAGTCTGCAGACAACTTCGATAAAACACAAATTTTGAATCTTTCGTATGTAGCATCCTCGTAATGAGTAGATACAAAGCAATAACCATTAATGAAAAATGAATGCATCGTCTACGCCATTGTTATCACATCATCATCAGAAACAGCGACGTCAGCCTTGACACAGATGCTTCACTGCCGTACAAATATAAGGTTCGTCTAATTATATGCTTGCTGAGATGCATGTACTTCCAAGCGCTCAATCATACGGTCCGGAAAGAAACCGATGGCACGAACGCCACTGACATCGCTCAGCTACCATTTCTTACAATGTTTCCAGCCACGCGCGGGCGGGGTCACATGGATCGCACCCTGGAGGACGTACAAAACCAACATCTAAACTCTTCGTAATATCTTTCATACCCTTCTTCCAAGTCATCCGTTATCCACTTCGCTTTATCCAGATTTATGAAGGAGGCACAGAGAACACTCATCCATGTAGACGGTGTTTTGACATGAGCGGCACGTCGCCGAGTC